AGGTTAATGAAATTAAAATTGAATTAAAATCTAAAATGTGTAATAAAATAAAAAAATTAAATAAAAATTAAACTAATAGTTAAGACATTCTTTTTATACAAGTCCAAGTCATTTCTGTGTTCAGAGACATGATTATCAAAAATAGTTTACAACTAAAGATTATCCACTAAAGCTATGCAAATGGGCCAAAGTGGACCAATTGTGACGAATTAGTGCAAATAAATCTCAGAACGATTGGCAAATAAAAACGTATTTCTTACTTTTTTCACAAAATTGTAGCCTCGTAAAAGAAGAGAAAGTATCATTTTCTGACAGACTAAAATTTGCATACGCAACAAGTAGAAAAATAACAAAAATGCAAACAAACAAAAAATAAGAAAACTACTTTATATATTTAATTAAAAGAAACTTTGTATAATTGCCTTTCAATTTTTTATTAAAAAATAATAATAATTTTATATGGACACGCTTGCTGAAAACTAATTTAGAAAAGTGGTTTCGCTGCAATAACGATATGAAATAATTGTGAAACTCTATAGCTGCGAGCAGTAATTATCCGTCGATATGCACATTAGACTTGGCTCTAGCTACAAAGGTTAATTTTTAGTGCAATTAAATAACTTTATCACGCAAATTGCAACTTAAAGCGCATTAATGTTATATAAACCTGTAATTAATTTCAATAGAAAAGGTGGAGTTTGCATTTTGAAGTAAACAGATACTGCAATTGTTTGGAAATAACAATGAAATAAGTAGGAGAAGTGTAACACGAAACTCCATATATTTGCGCGAGAAAAGAACTAACAAGCTTCTATGGCCTACAATTTAAATAATAAATCATCAGTGCAATCTAACTGACACATACGATACTTGCATTAACTGCCAAACTTTTGTGTTGGAATATCCAAAAAGACGCTATTTAGGCCAACAGGACGTATACGTATCATTGCTTTTCCTTTATGGCGACGTGGCGTATGAGTGATTTTCGGGCATTGCGCACAAAATAACAGGCCATTGATATCCTTGCGTGTGTGTGTGTGTGTCACAATTGGATAAAGTACATCGTCAATAAGCGCCTCAAATCCACTTCACCTTGTCAGCTTCGATTTCTTCTTCACCCACCCACGTAGCGCACGCTGGCGGAACAACACTGTCATTTTCAAAATCACAAGCAAGCGCTTAAAAGTACGGCCTGGCAAAAGAAAAGAAGCTGCAATGAGCACACAAACGCACAATACACAAATACGAACAGGCGAAAGTAAGCAGTGAAGACCTTCAGAGCGGTAATTTATGCTTTATGAGCAGGTGTGTGTGTGTGTGCGTGTGCGTTGCAGTTTTCAAGGATCAAAATCCGCACTGCGCAAAACCACGGCTAGAGCGCACATGTCTCGGCATACGGCTACATACATACTTACATATGCTTGCGAATGTGTGCATAAGCACATGTGAAGTGCTGCAAATGGAACGTGGTAAGTGCCCCAGCGCATATGTGTGCAACACTGCAGCTAAAGCGTAGACGCAGAGAAAGCAGAATGCCAAAAATCCTCATCAGAGGAAGAGAGGAGCGTCACATACACAAAAAGAGCTATGCGTAAATGAAATATGCTGCTGCTTTGT